GATAAAATGTAAATATAATTTGATTTCTTCCTGAGCATATTCCTCTAATTTTTAAAATATTTGTGTTGGTTTGTATTTTTTGTATTATGTACGAGAAAATCACATGTTGTTGAAGTGCCCACTTCCTTTTAAACACTGTCACCATTAAATTAGAGCCATGTTAACAGTCACCATTTCAGAAAAAAATAAACCAAAACAGCAGTTGTCATTGTGGTAGGACAAAATCCTGCTCTGAAAAATGAGGTAAATAAAAGTACACCTACGGCAATATAAACCTGAAAAGGTTTCCATAAAGCGCATAAAGTTCCATTGTACCAATTCCTTTAGGAAAAAAAGTTTTGCAAATCTATATCTAAAGCAAGTGTTAAACTACAGTTCTGTTTCGTTTGAGTTGAGGAGCTAGTGTTGTATCATTTGATTCTTATTTTCCAGGTAACACATTAATATTCACTTCAAAACAGCGATTATGGGGCAACAATCATATATACAGACATATTTGTAATTACACCTTCAAGTAGGTCATTGAAGATACATTTATGCTGCTAAAACTAGTCAAAGGGCAGCTATACACATTCTGCATGAACTGCTGAAGAATGGCGTTATCAATGAGACAAATATTTTGAAGAGCAGTTTCATTTCTGAAAATGCAAATTCATTAAAAATTATAACAAGAATTAAAGAAGCTTGAATCTAAACCAGCCTTCAGATTATTCCCCTAAGAAAAAATGTACCGTTTATTTTGTAGCCATGTGACTTGACAAGGAAAAGTTATTTAGGAATGCTTTACTGATGAAACAGAGGCCCAGACATTGTAGCAACAAATTAAATACAATTCTATCATAAAAAGACAGAGTTGAAACTTCAAAATAACTTAGAAGAATTATTAAGTGTGTAAGCAAGTACCAGGACAGACATAATGTGGTTCAAAAAGTAAGCAATTAGCTAAAGTCTCAAATTCACTAGAGGCTTATTAACCTAAACTGTCTGGAGAAGATGTTGATACATGGATTCACTTCACTATACATGTTTAACCCTTAGTTTTTGACCCAGAAACAGGTACCAATGATGTGAAATAAACAGAGCAAAATTCACAAAGCTGAGAGATCCTCAGGTATGTTAATGCCCTCTTGGGAACCTGAATGGAGGAAAACAGAAAAAGTTTAGATTACAAAAGAAACCGAAAGACAACCCAGAACTATATGGTTAGTACGCAAACAAAAGTTGTTGTATTTCCACATTTGTATTTGCATCCTGTTTACAAAGTTTGGGTTTACGGCATTCAATTTAAATGTTTGCATTTTTATACAGAACAAGAAAAAAAATCCTCTCCTAGATAAGTCTGTGGTACTATGCTCAGCTTTATCCTTCCTCTTCGGTCTGAGCTCATAAATTTAAAGCCCTCAAAATACTGCAATCAGCTGTGGTGTTGGAGGGAGGAACTTTGATTGCAGAAGTGTATTTACACCGTCTTAACCAGCTGAGATCAGGTAACGAAACCACATTCTTAGGTCTACAACAAATAAGAGACAGAATCTTAAGAAACTATTCTTTAGTATTTTTAAATGGCCAGCCATGCAGTAAATTAGGTTAGCCCTAGCATGGAACAATCCTGCAGCAATGAAAAATGGACAGGATAATAGCAATAATGTTACAATAGCATCTATTTTTTGGAGTATGTCTCAAGTATTTAGGTACGAACAACCTACTAATGAACACAGTCCAAAGTTTATTTCTGATACTAGATTTGATTAGGAAATGAATTTTCCCCCATCATAAAAGAAGTTGCTTTTTCATTGAAAGACTAAACATTTTCAGAATATTTTTTCAATGAAAATTCAAATATTTTCACCACATACAATTTCCATGCAAATATTTTCATATTTAAGTTAAAACTGTTTCTTCACAAAACCGACTCCAGCTATTATATTTATATGATATTTTAAAAGGTATTATTTTAGCCTAATATTTCACATCAAGAAAGCATTTGAAAGATGTCTTTGTTGAAATTTCTGTACCATAAGCTTCTAATTAGAAGAGAAATTCCTAAATGCTGACTTGGGGCAATCTACCTTTCAGAAGAATCAATCCAATAGATCTCTAGCCCTTATATACAAAACTGCTGAGAATTTTTACTCAGTTCCAGTTGTGTGGATCTCCTGCCTTCATCTTGTGTTCATACAATATCCTGACAGTAATGGCATCAATTACTTTCATGTAATATAATACTATTATTACTATATGAAATGAACTTTTAGCTGCTCATTTGCTAAATGAAATTTGGCAACTAAACCCAAAGGTCAGTATCATATGACAACACGGGAGCAGAGCAACAGGAAGAGTTATGGAGATCACTGGAAAAGGCTTGGGAACTTCAGCACTGTTATTTTGAATATGTCTGTTCTAGCACCAATGTTTATAACGATGCAAATCCTTCTGTTAAATCATTTTTCTGTGCTGGTATATACTCTCCTTTGGAAGCTTTGCTCTTCTGATTGGTCTTAGAAGCCAAACCTCCCTTTCACAGTAGTTTTTCACCTTGAAAATGACAGGATGACTTTCACTAATAGAAGACTAAGCACGGAGACTTTTTTTTTTAATTTGACAGCAAATATAAAATAGCTTAAAAAGAATGTATAAACCTCTTCTGAGAAGTCTGTAAACATGCAAGTCTTTATTTAAACCGAATAACTATTCAAGTCTGACTCTTGGAATGGTTTTGAGCTCCAGATTTAGACCACCTACATTTAGCTGTCTATATACGTGTTACATGACCAAACTCCTGTTAAATCTAGTAGACATACCCAACAGACTCTACAGAGCTCACTCAGCAGCAGAGATCCCGCCCCCACCCCATGGGCTGGGCACCTCAGCAGCCTTGGAGGTTCCACTGGCCCAATCTGCATGGCCTTGAAAAAGAACAATGTACCTAGCATAGTCCAGACCCCTAAATTGGCAGGCAGGATGGGAGTATTTCAAACTCAGGCTTAATATCCAGATACTCTTTTATGCCAAAGAAAAGCCCAAGTCCTTCCCCAGAGAGTGGGGGATTGTCTACATATGGGTAAAACCAGAATGAATGAGAATGATTTAGTATTAGAATCAAATGTTCAGCTTCTTAAAACGTTAAATACTTCTCTCACGTTGCTTTATTAACATACCCACTATTTTCACCAGCAAAATAAAGAAGAAAATTAGGATTATGCTGTGATTTCCTGGACAATTTAAGAGGCTGTGCAACTTGGCATGTTAGTCATAAAAACTGACCCTTATTGCAAGATAATTGCAAAAAAAATGTTTTTATTGTCATGAATTATAGACCCAAGTTCTTCCTGTTGACTACATCATTGAATTCCATTGTAAGACCTTCTCACCCATAAATCTTGCTACACAGTGAATTTGAAAACTTAGAAATAATTCTCAAGTGTTCAAATGAAAACATGTACTCTGAATGCATGTGTAGTAATACATAATACAGAAATTCAGAGCAAAGCTTTTCAGAATCAAAATTGTAGGCAACGATCCAATAGCAGAAGCTATTCTAGCTCTAGTTTTCTTTTTAAATCATCAACACCAATGAAGAGCCCATGCCAATGGGATTCTTAGAAATCATATTTTAAGCACTTTATGGAAGACACTGTTTCCTCTCCAGCGTTTAAGCGTTGCCTACCACAACTTGCTCCTGCAGCATTTCACTCATAAATAAGAAAAAAATTAGATTTTTTTTTTTTATATAAGTAGAAAAATGACAGTTCTGACCATTCTCAGAGACACCATTTCTGTTCATCAGTCCTCAGTGAAAGAGGACCTACAGATATCTATGCTGAATCGCTAAAACAGATCACTTCTGAAGAAGGACCATGCCTGAAATGCCTGGCTTGAAGCAGGAGAGATGAAATGCTAGACCCAGGAACAGGATATGCTGAAGTACAAAGGCCTTGTATGCAAAGCTTCGATCCATACAACGGACTTTCTTTAGGGAAAGCAGACAACTGATGTACATGTTCACTGGAGGAAAACTATCCACAGAAAGGAATGACATAAAGTGCATCTCTGAGACAAAATGCACATTTGGCTACTTGTTATCATTTATGTTGAAGCCAAAAGCCAGGTTAAAAGATGCGCAGTTTATATTTTGCTTCTTTATTGCTATGTTTTTCTATTTGTTTTGCATATTACACATTTTTGTGCTGTTGTGTCTGTGCAACCATCATGCTTACGTCAATATTTTCTTTTGAATAAATATACTTCTATTTATCTCTGAAACAGTTAACTGCATGGGCTACTCCTCCCTGCACGTTTTACTATTGATAACTTGTGATAGGCATCAGGTCAATCAAACCGGTGGGTTTCCTATGCTGTATTTATCCTTAATATTCAAAGGAAAAGCTTGTTCTATCCTGCAAGACTACTATAGACAACCACCCACAATGTGGGTTGAAATATCTGGTCACAAAACTAAATTTATTCATTTTGTATGACAGAACATTTTGTCCTTGGATTAGATCTTAGCACCACAAAAGTATTTAGATGCCCCATTTCACGTAATGTTATTAAAGATATTAAATAGTATACATAGCTGCACTTTTAATGGTTTATAGTTTTAACTTCAGCTCACATTCAAATGAAACTCAACAGCACAAAAAACAGGTTTCTTTTAGTCTAAAAGAAAATAAGCCAATCAAAATACAAATTTAAGCCAAATATTAAGATCTACTTACTACAAGATGCCTTTATATTTAACTTTGCTTGTTTCACAAAAAAAAACCCAAAGCTTTACTTGCTGGTGTCCAATAAACCAGAGAATCTTCACTTCTGTTACCTTGTTATTTTGCTCTAGAAGCTTTTTGTTTAGTAAAGTGATTTCTTTGGAGCAGCTGATATCATTATTGTGATCCAAAAGAATAGGAACTATTATAGACGCAATATTATTTTAATAGAGAAAAATATTTAAAATTTGTAATGAGCATACCCAGAGTTTTCTTTCAGTACTCCAGAACATCCTAAATGGAAGGCTTACTTCTCTTGGCTTTATTTAACTTTGAATAACCTTCTTCCTTCTGTTTACAAAAAACAAGCAAACAAACAAAAGCCAGAAAAAAGTAAAGCAAACAAAGTAGTAATACTAAGCTAACAGCTCAATTAAAAAGTTGTTTCTGAGTGAAATGATGAGAAGTAATTAATAAAAGTTTTTATTTTCCAATATAAATATAAAGTATGTTTATATGTACAGTGGGTAAAAAATTAAAACCAGAGCTATTTTGAAAATACCCTTTTACATGCTGGCAACCAAGATTTTCAAAACCAACTGATCATTTTTGGTGTTCAAACTTGACATAATGACAATGGCTTACTGTTCAGAGAAGTGCTTAGTAGCGTCCCCAGTCAGCACCATTGTATTTTCATGTGAAGAAAGGAGGAATCGGACTAACGAGCACTGGAGAGTCCATCCCTACCCAGCTAACAGAGAAGTCCCTCTCCTATTCCTGAGGCTCCAGTAGAGGCTTCCCTAGAGCTGCCCATCCACCTCACTTGGCTCCAGCAGTGGCAATGCTGCACTGGCAGAGCGGCAGGCAGACAGTGAGAACTTGCTGTCTCCTGCCGCTTCCCAAAAGCAGCTTGCAGGGCTCAGGCTGGTACCCATGGTGCTCCCAGCCTGCCTAGAGGGAGGAATGGCAGGGGGCACTTGTGACTCACGACGAGGACAGGGCAATGCCCCTTCCCCATCCCAGCAGTGCTGCCAGACCAGCTATGAGCTCTCTGCTTGTCCAGCTGCCCAGGCTGGAGAGCTAGCTCCGTGCTCACAAGCCCTAGTGTGGCTGAGTCATTCCCAGTGGCAGGCAAAGGACTTCAGCACTTAACCCGTATTATGGTGGAAGTCTCCTTTCAGTACTCAGACCCCTGGGTTGTTATTCTTATAACCACAGTCATTTTTAGTTGCTGTTCTTCTTTTCTTCTTTGTGAGACTGACTCCTGACTCCACTGCTGCAGCATCACAGCGCTGGGCCTGTTACCAGTGACTCAGTTGTGGCCCTGTGGAAAGGCCCTTCCCAGCTGCAGCTGGATCGGGCCAGCTCCGAGCAGCTGGGCTGGCGTCTCCCAACGAACCCCTCTCTTCCCTGCGGCAGTCTGAGCTCTGGGGTATGAGTGTGTTCCTGCAGCAGGCCCCTGAGGTTGCTCTACTGGCCTGGATAGCACAGACTGCGCTCTTTTAATTACCACTAAAAGTTACAGAATTGTCTTGTATTTGGTTTTAAAAGCATAACAAGACAAAAAGATGACCGATAAAATTTAATTAATCAAATGCAAATTAAGTGAAAGAATCTGAATTATGGATATATACTCTTAAGTTCTTAATTGACAGTTAACGAGTATGTTGACAAGGTAAGTTTATATATTGCAACACATGACTAGGCAAAGGCACTTCAGATCAAGCATGGGTAATGAGACCTCAAATGGTCACACTTGAAAGGAAATATAAAAGGCAAAGGAACCTGTTACATTTGTGCAACTTTTCCTCCTGGCTTATTTTGTAGAGTTACTGCACAGTACTTTCGGTTGGCTGTTAGCAGAAATAATACATACATATTTATATAAGAAAACACAATTCTACTGAGCACTGGAGACCTGGGACCCATTCCTTCTAATGAGCCTAATTTCTAGGTAGCAAAAACATAGAGAATGTGGTTGTAAGGAGAAGGAGATGGAAGATGCAACTGAGTTTTAAAGAACTGATATTTAGAAACGGAAGTGTATCCCAGTGGTAGGTAAAAGCAATATTTAAGAATAATGAAAAAATATTTTGAAGAGGAATTTAAAAGTATATACTACTATCATTAGAACAGCACCCAAAAGAAAAAGTATTAAAAACATAAGTCATATTAGGAACTTACCTAATTGCTGCTGCTGACCCCATCTAGTAAGACAATAACAACTTAAATATATTAAATCACTAAGATAATGTAACTTTTAAAACCCAGAATGAATTACAAATAGACTTCTGGAACTGATTTCTACAGTACGTTGCTGAATTCAAGCACTTAAGATGAGACACTTGCAGAGCCAATGAGAATGACCATAGTTATACTGGACAGGATAAAACTGTTTTCTGTAGAATCACAAAATCTGCTTCAGAAGCATATTTACATTAAGTAACATCATTAAACATTTTCATTTTAGTAGTATCTTTTGCAGGAGACAAACATTTGCAATGCATACTTGAAGTAACAGTAACATAAGCAATGGTTAATTTTATCCAGAGTGGGCTCAATAAGATTTCTTGGTTTTCCCATTTTAACTGGAACATGCTAAAATAAAAAAATCTCTTTTTTCCTTTTTATCTCTTAATTCAGGTCCTTACAGACTGGATTAAGGGGTGTACGTCTATGAGTTTTTTTACCTGTCCTCTTCTGGCACAACGTTTCTTTACAGATGCTTCCACGTTGCTCTCCTTGATTGAGGAAGTCAGTTTCGAGGTCAGTGTTTCACATGTCAGATACTCGTTCCCAATAGTCATCTTAAAGTACAGAAATTCATACCTTCATTAGCCAAAAAAACTCTAGTATTTTTCTACTTGTTAAAATGACCTACTTTTTCAAAAGGTGCCCTCATAACACAAAGTTGAAATAACCTACCAAATTACATTTTATAGGTGAAAAAATGTGACAAACTCAACACATTTCATCCATGTTCCCAATCTGCAGAATATCATCCTCATAAAAACTGCATTGAAATCAGCTCAGTTATTTACTTTATTGAAATGCAGACAGAAACACAGAAAATTTAGGTTGTAAAGTACCTCTAGTGGTCATATAACCATAACTTTTACTCAAAACAGAGCTAACTTCAAAGTTAGATCACACTGCTTTGTGCCTCATCTAATCAAGTTTTGAGAATCTGAAAGGATAACCACTCCACAACCTCTCTTGTGTCACTTGTTCCAGCACTTAACCACCCTCTGAAGAATATTTTTCCTTCTGCCCAGTAGGAATTTTTCCTGTTGCAACTTGTGTTTGCAAAACTTCCCAGTTTGTCTAACAGCACAGCACTTTGCACACACTGCAGTCAGTGCTACACAACTGATGAAGTTTGAGACTCCTTCCAGGAGCTGTTCATTAACACGGTTTCATATGAAAACAGACTGAACACCGAAAATTTCACCATGTTAACCTCACACAAATCTTGATAAACTGATAAACTGTTTTAAAGAAAACTAATTATCCCACCTTAAAAGTCCCAAATAATAAAAAGTGCGTATCTTGGACAACACTGTAAATCACCCTTCCTTTCAGATGAAAAGCAGCAGTGGCTGAAAACATTAACTTTCATACTGGAAATTTTCGAAAACTGTATTGAGAATGATGGTAAAGCATGATGAAAGTCATGCTCTTTACTGCTTAACATTGTTTTAGAATATACTGAATTTGTGAGAACCAGTGAGAATGAGCCCTGTTATTTACCATACCTGTTCAAAGTTGGATTTGGAATGACAACTAGTTGTCTTAGCAATGTAGTCCTTAGAATGGCATGCTGCTTTATTTCCTTCATTTTTGGCGATGCACACATTTAAGACAGATTCATGAATATTTAACCCTGCTCCTTCATTTGATCTCTTTCTTTGTGCCTGTGATAAACTGGAATCTGTTGTTTCATTGTCTAATTTACAAATCTGCAAATGTACTTTCTTTGACTGGTGTTGTTTCTCAAGAACTTGCACGATGTTTTGACTTGCAAACTTTTTTCCCCTGCTTGCACTGGAAGTAGGAGATGCGTATGTATTCAGACTCAGATTGATGTTAGATTTCTGAAGCACTGACCCAAAATTCTTCAGCACAGAAGGAGAATTTGCCTTTTTATGACTGTCTTCACTTGAACCCCCACCTGAAGGTGAGTTATCAGAAAAATCAGAAGTAGTCATTTGTCCCCTGGACTCTGTTCTCCATCGAAATATGGGTATACCATGTTTTGCGTATGTTTTTGTGTTCATTACCTGAAGTACACCGCTATGAGTAGGATTTTTGACAGACATATTTTGAACGGGCTTGTAAACCTGAGTTATGCTGGACTTATGCGCAGTCAGCATAGAAGATGAAACGCCCATCATTTTTGCTGGGGAACATCTTTCAGCATTTTCTCTTTTCTTCCCATCCATTTGATTTGTGGTCTTTCCATTCATTTGCATCAACTTTCCTTTGAAAATTGGTATAATTTTGCTGACTTTTTTGAGGGGGAGCTCAAAGGCTGAATTTACAGGCATCCCTAAAGGTTTCACAGCTGGTAACTCTGGTATTCCTGGTGTCTGCCTGTTACTCACTGATTTCTCTGTGGCTTCAACGCTAGCCCTTTCTGTACCCTTAGAGCTACTCGAGTGAGAGCGCGTTTCTGGCTCTTTGATCCAGCGCTCCATCCTGTGGCTGTTCTCCGTGCTGCACGGTGAAGAAATTCTAGGCAAAGACTGTTTCCTTGGAGGAGCCTGCGTTACAGAAGCTACACAAACCATCTCACCAGCCAATTTCATGTGCTTAGATTTTATTTCCTGCAATACAGTAAGAGTTGCTAAATTGAATGAACTCGATTTAAAAATCTGATAGTGCCATCTAATGCATCACTATATGATATCTACCTAATAAACATCACAATACATAACTATACATTTTCCTGTTTTGAATTAGAATGAACCATATTTTTAAAACAATATTTTGTTGTCTGTATAAAGGAAGATTTGTTTTCTCCTCCCCTCAGTTCTTTGTTTATAAGCTATGCTGGAATATCGTATCTCTCAGAAGGAAAGACTTAAATTACAGTCATTATCTTGGTTTAGTGCTTTCCTACCGGGTGATGCCTACCCCTTTTGAGGGGGTCTGCAGAGAGTTTGACTAACAGGGCTCCTCATCTCTTAAGACTTCTAAGGGCATCTGTAGTCTGAGCAAAAGACAGTTTGGATGTGGAGCCATTCTAGCTTTGATCACTGAAGAGACAAACAGGAACTGCTTTCTGAAAGAGGATTACAGTATTTTAAAATGTCTGCAATTTCTGTCACTATTCTTTGTTCAGAATTAATTACTTCATTTCTTCTTTCACACGCTACTACCAAAGAAATCTGAGTCTCAGCCTTTGTTGCAAACTCAAATTAAAGGAGTTTTGACTGCTTGCCTCCTTTCCATCACCAGCCATGGAATAAATCCTACAGCTTGACTGTTTTTAAATGCCTAAGTCCACAGAACTTTGGATTTTTCTTTGATTATTTTTTAAAAAATAATTGTAATATTATTATTGTTATTATGGAGGAAGAGGTGTGAGAAAGTTCTGGATATCCAACCATAAAATAAAGTCTATAGAATTGCAAATATTGATAGCAACTAATTAACACTAAGTCCAATGTTTTAATGTATTTGTGATGTGAACAACACCACAACAATGGCAAACAGCAATATAATATTTAGTTACACATTTAATGAAAAGTTACTTGACTGATAGCTGTCATGAAAAACATAGTTTTATGCTCTTACTATGTTCTGAATACAATAAAGCCCACTTCATACCATGAACAAAGTACATGCCACTAGCATGTTTATAAAAAAAAAACCTTACACGCACCAGAGCCCTGGAGAGTTCCTGCGTAGCATAAAGTGCTTTACTTGTCATCTTTACTGGAAATCCACATAGATGTGAAAGATTACGCTTCATGTCAGAAAGAAAAGAGTTCAGCACACTTTCTGAATTCATTCTAGGGAAATACTGCACTGGCTGACTTCGAATGCAATTTAAAGGATACCTGAGTAAGTGTTCAGGGATACACAACAAGTTTCTTTACATTTCTGTAATTATGAATCATCTTCATTGAGAAGAAAGCATGAACCTGTCTAAAGTTTTTTCCAAAAGGTGAACAAAAGCACTTACTTTCTTAAGGTACTGAAGTTTATAAAGTTACAGGACTTCAACATGATTATACCACGCTAGTCTACCATAGTAAAAATTACTCAATGTAAGTAATCCTTAGTCTAGTCTTTCCAAGCAGGAAAATTCTCTTTAAAACAAATCTTCGTTGACCATATTTTTACAGGAATTTAACTCTTCCTTTTACATCACCACTTAGCGTGGCATTATCACGTTTACAGAAGCTGTGATGCAAACTGATCTATTCGACTTACTATTATTCAATACTAGGACAAAGAGACTTCACTAAATATTTTGTTCCAATTTGTCTAATGAAACAATTCTTCAGAGACTTCTATGAAATTATGGAAGAAGAAAATGTGACACAATCAAAAATGAAAAATTAGATCTTCACTAGAATTGTACTTGAGGAAATGTACAAAAGTATTCTGAAAGGATACGTAAAGAACTTTTCCCCTATTGGCCTGAAGTAAATACTGAAGTATATTTTTGTCTCGTCAAGATCCTCTGGAAGAATATATCCATACTTCAAAAAATCCACAAACACGTGTTACAAATACAAATTCAACAGGTACAAAAAAGGAAGGGAAAAAAGAAAGTGTATTTTTTTTCTTACCAGATTCTTCCAGTGGATTTGAAGTTCTTCATATGAACGGAAAGGAGATTCTGGAGGAATTATGTGGCTGATGTTTATGATTTGACCCATTTTCATGCTGTGCATGGGTAAAGAAAGGATGCTTAGAAAGGTTGTCATAAAACTTAGCTGGACATATAGTGGACTTTTTTTAAAAAAGTTAATGTTATGTTTGGCATTGAAAGTATTTCTGGATTATTTTTATGATTTGAGTACTAATACCTTTAGCTTGTAAGTTTATGACAGAACAACAGCAATATGGAAAAGAACTTGGTACCTACAAGTCTAATTTCTCTTGTCTGTAATACTCACTACCAGGGAATGTAGAACAAAAGCAAATGCATCATTATTTCTCATATTTTTATCATGAAAATCGTAGGTGAAAATAGACATAGTTTGTGGCAAAGGTGTAAATATGTTTTTTCTTTAAATTGACACTTCCTGATAAAATTATATTTGAGAAAAATTAATGCTCTTGCATATCACAGAAGTAGCAGATTACTAAAAGTTAAATAATATTTAAAGGTGTAATTTATGACCTACTATTTTTTCTTTCTTGTTTTCCATAACATTGAGACCATAAAAGTAAAAAAGAAAGATTCCTGGATGTAAAACAGACTGTAAAACAGAAGTGTTCTTATCACTAGTATCAAATTCACAATTTCTATGGCCAGCATTCCAGGAAATACTTGTTTCTGCTGAAATGTAAACAGACTCCTACCTTGGCAAAACATAGCACCAGTTACTTAATATGGAATGTTGGTGAATAACTGTATTTTCATCACTGTTAAACAGCTTCAATGTGTTTGCTGAAATATCAAAATCTCCCAGCTTGAAACAGAAAAAAAAAAAAAAGTTACTTGCAAATATTTTCACACCTGTACAAAATTAAAATTTTCAAAAATACTTGTGTATCACAATACACTGAAGCTTATACATTATTATTCTTTTATCAGCTCTCACGGACTGCTTATTTCAGAAGATATTCCCATTACCAAATTGCATACTATCATTTGTAGAGCCTACACTTCCAAAAGTTATCCAAGTACAAGGTTTAAAAGTTATTTAAATCAGTGAGATTTAAACTTTATTTGAAGTGTTTTAATAAGTAAGAGTACAGAAGGAATTTCTAAGACTAAGAACTGTCTCACTTCCATGCACGTTTTTAAAATTCAAGGCAGAAACCTATGCCTGACAGTCTAGTAACTGCATATGCCACCTTGCCTAATCAAGTGCAAAGATCCCAGCAATAGAATTAATGGGACAATATAGTTTCACCCCGTGAGAAGTCAAAAAACACCACACATCTTCACAATGTGAAAGTATTTGTCTGTAGGGGCCAATCAACCACTGAGATACAAGAAACATTTTCTCTCTCTGTGGTCTCCCAGGGTTTGCATTTATTCACTAAAAAAAAATCTGGCCATTTCTATTTTAAAAAAGTATTTAAATGATCAAACTGATAATAAAGCCACATGATGATTGCTTCTATCATTGCTTTATGTCATTCTGGAATTGGATTGCTTCAATTCTTATGCTGTCCAGCTAGGTCACAGAACAAATCCTATTCTTCTATTGTAAGACAGAGGAATTTGCATCAGAAATACTTATTTTGGACAAAACCATCAAGTCTGAGAAATATGCCCTGTATGTATGAACGTACTCCACAACGGTGACATGGATGTTCAGAAAGGATGGTAATTTTTCAAGGTCAACCATCACTTCTTAAGCGATTTATTAATTATGCTTACAAGCAGTGTAGTTCAGGCTGCTCCAGTATTTTGGAAGCTGCATAGAAAATGAAGCAGATTCCAGAATAATTATATACAGGGACATTAAACATAGTGCTGACAACTTACTTGTAGCTTCACTTTTAAGATGTTACTCAAAACTGTCTATGTATTACAGTGAGACAGTGATACCCCTCTAGAAAATACTGCTAGAAGGAAATCTAGAATCATAAAGGCACTTCACTACTATACTCTGTTAGCATTTTTCAAAAGGTCTCTTAATTAGGCTAGAATCTCAATTTTACAATGCTTGCCAGAATGCATCAATATAGATATAATACGGATGTTACGCACTCAGAACAGATGCAGATAGTTAATGAATATTATAACTGTCTTAACACAATCAGAAATAAGCACTTCTATCCCCATCATGCTAATTGCAAGTCAACTAACAAAAAAGAAGATAAAGATTAGTCAGACAAATACAGTAACAGAAAATGTAACTGTTTTATACCTCAGGGGGTGGCAACCGAATTGAGCAAGCCTCCACACTGATGCAAAGCTGTCTCTCTGCTACGTTGAGGTCTATAACTAAAATAAAAACAAAGCACAAAACCCTGTTTTCAACTACAGTCCATGTGTTAGACAGAAAGCTAAACCAAACGTTTATTTAAAGTAATTGTTAGTCAAAATGCTGCATTTGAAAATCAGAAGGATAGACTTCCTCAGCATGCAAATAAAAATTACTTGTATTTTAACTGTGAAAAATTTAAATAATAATGAATTACCATCCATAGAGTACACCTCCCTAGGAACTCATGGCTGTCCATATATCTGGATGCTTGATAGTCATATCCTTGATACACAAACAACCATTTTCAAAGCATATGTAGTTCTTATGACCATTTGCTGTACTGAATCATCTAGCCCAGTATTATGCATCCAGAAGCAGTCAATAGGAAAGACTATATGAGCAAGGCAAGCGATTGTGCCCCTGTACTCAGCACTGATGAGGCTGCACCTCGAGTACTGTGTTCAGTTTTGAGCCCCTCGCTACAAGAAGGACATTGAGGTGCTGGAGCGTGTCCAGAGAAGAGCAACGAGGCTGGTGAGGGGTCTAGAGAACAAGTGTTATGAGGAGTGGCTGAGGGAACTGGGGCTGTTTAGCCTGGAGAAGAGGAGGCTGAGGGGAGACCTATGATCTTAGAGGTCTATTCCAATCTTAATGATTCTATGATTCTATGATCTCCAGAAGACTCACCCAGCTCTGAGCAACCTATAGCACAGGGACTGAACATATTATGTTGCTCAACACACATCCTTGTTGCAAATTTAAGCAACAATATCCCCAAATACAATCTTTAATTTTTATACTGGAATAAAAATATTACTTTGTAATTTCTGCAATAGCTAAGCAGTATGCTTTGTGACTTAACTTTTAGGAACAGCAAACGTAGTACATACAGGACAGTCAGTTTAGCTCATTTTCCTAACTATTATTACAGAACTTTCATATCACTTGCAAGACTTATCACGTGAGGCAAATCCATTTAACTGTAATAATCATAACTTTTAAATAGTAAATTTCAATCTGTAGCTGTAGATTAATAGTGGAAAAATTACCTTTTTCAGGGGTAATTTTTCAAAGGTGCAGCTGAGCTGACAATTTTTGACTACACTGTCTGCCACCAAGTGTATTTTGACTAAGGTTATTTCAGAATGAAAAGCAAAAAGGCATTGTGTTGGTAATACCAAGATCATGGCAGTATGAAAGCACATAACTATACCCTGCTCTCACAAGTTTATCATTAACAGAATATTGTACTTACCAACAGCATTTTGCCTTCCTGAGTGAGACAAAAAATCTTCTCCTTAATAAATAAAATAGACAGATGGTATTTTCAAAACCATATGCCTAATGTCTTTATGCAAAAAAAGAAGGAGAAATCACACAGTTTCGCTTGTATGTGTCATGAATGCTGAAAGGTTTGTTCCTTTTAAGGAGAGGAAAAACCCCTCTATCAATTAACTTTTCACTGATTCATTTAAATCTTACATGAAAAAAGAAAGATACATGAAAGTATATTAGCGGACAGCAATTTTTACAGTTTTTTCCTCCCAGTAAGGAATTTATACACACAACTATTTTAAATTGACTAACAGTTAATAAATTTATCAGGTTCAAAAGCAAATCTGTATAGTGTTACTACTTATTTTACCACCTCTCATCAGTTTTGCCCAGCTTTAGCAACATATATGATTAGACAAGCTGCATGTACGAGCGTCCCATTGCTGTTAGTCAATGTCTTTCACTGAAACCAGTTCTATATCAGCTACCATCTAGCCCTCTACTTCTATCTGCTATTCCTGAATAAGCTGATTTCATTCAAGAGATATATATTTTGAAGATACTGAAAACAAGATACTGTTAATATTGTGGCTGGAAATAAGAAAATAACATATACAGTTTTCTCAATGTATATTTGGAATGATCTATACAATTGCTCAGCTTAGTAAGAGCACACCAGTGTATCTGAAACACATCTGTTTTTCCATTCTTTTGTAATCCACATTTATCCTGCACAGGAGTTAGTAAAGAGATGTCAGGCAAAGGAACTGCCATCTAAAAAGGCAAAGCTTGGTAGAAGGAGGTGGTCTGACAGAGAAACATGTCTGTATTAGAAAAGCATGCAAACCATGTGCAGAAGTGCCCCTGATGAAAGCATGAATCTGAAAAAACAATTTTTTGAAGACATTTACTGTCCAACAATATTTGGTTTAGGAATTATTAATCTAGTATGCTGTATTTGGTTGAATTAATTATTTGATCTATTACAAAGATGAAGAGGAAGATGAAAAAGTGACTGATACATCCATTCAGATTGCTAACTTGAATAACTGAACTTGGACAAAGGAATAATAAAAATTCAATCAAACAAAAAAAAACCCCACAGGATAAATGAATAAAATAATTTAATATAACAAATGAAATAATGATAGAACTGAAATAATTATGGAAGTTAAATTAGGGAAAATAAATGCAACAATAAAGAACTGAAAACTAAATGCTTGATCCCTGACCCAGGTGACTGAAATACCTTGCACCAAGAGATGACCAGCCTTGTTCCATCTGGGTGCAAGTCTGGCTGTCAGTGTGTAGGAGAGACAGGTTTGGAGAACGACTGGACTAACTGTTTGTGGTGCTTCCAGCTAATAACATCAGTGAGAAAATAAAAATACATCATCAATAATTTAACAGGTTGTTTTAAAGGCTTCAGTCAAAATTTAATCAAAGATATTGCTCCTGCATCGTGGAGCCAAATCCTAGTATATGTTACACATCTTTACTTTTCATCTACTTAGCTACAAGAGGAAGTTAGTACAATTTTTATGTAGGCATTTAGATTTCATGTGTTATCAAAATAAGGTGCACTACAATTCCTTTAATGTTTATCACAGGGCTGATAATACACTTGTGGTTAAGATTAATTGAACTGTGTGGAGTACTTTACTAGATATGCATCTCTTCCCAGACAATAGGCACAACATCAAAAATTTACATATATAAACTCTGCTGTCAAACTCAAGACCAGAGACTTTTTCTTGCAGTCACAATAATACATAAATGTAGCTTTGTTCACCCAGCAGTACCACTTGCCTGACTGCTTGTATAGCCTGTCCTGCATAGCTTTCTACTGACAGTCAGCACTAGTTAAGAAAAATAAACTAATTACAATAGGTTAAAATGTTAAAAACTAATACACCTCCGAGAGGATATTTCTAATGAGATCCTGCAAGGATTTGCTTGCAGCTCACAGTTATTAAATATACTTCATACTATTAATCTTCTGGTGCTGGAAAATCTAAAGATGACAGGTCAGTTACACATACCAACATAAAGCAGTTTTGTAAGGTAAGCATATCTGAACAGTATATGTCTTACTAATCCAGATATGCATTTAGTCTTCTTGGAAGAAAGGAAAATACACCCACCGGCTGTACAAACGAATCACGAGAGGTACTGGCTTTGATTACAATCAGCCTTTTGACTCAGCAATTTTAGTGCATCCACACATACATTCACAAAATCTACACACACTGCATACTAGAAGATAGTAAAGCACATGCGTAATGGTCTAAAACTGTATCAGCTGTTAAGCTCATGGGTTCGATTTCTTCTCTATGTTTCTGTTTTGTTTTTCTGAGACTATCCTATATAGGCTGGATAAAGCCAAAATGTGAACAGGTAGACAGTTCAGCTGTCTGAACACCCCGACCCGTGGAGCCTACAGCACACACGCAGAGTGGGTGACACCAGCAGGGGATCTGCAGGTCTTTGGCCCGAAGGGCAGGTCTGTCGTTGCCTCGAGGTCAAACCCCAACGCCCTTGAGCAGGATCACGATCCCACTGCAGCAGAGATATCTAGTGAAATTGCTCAGCAACATCTTAAAACTTTTGACTCTGACAAAGTGCACTTACCATATCCAGATTCGTAAGAGACATTTTGTCTATGGGACAGACTTTTTTACCCTGAAACGTGGCTTCTGCAGTGCAAATCACATGCCCTATGAAAAATACTTATCTCTGGCAACAGCAATTGTAGACAAGCGTAACCATCTCACGAACTGTCACATCTTTCAGCACTTACGGTAGCTCCGTGTTTCTCTACGTAGGCTTGACATATTCCTGATTTGTAAAATGGTATCTAAACATTAAAAAAAAAAAAAAGCATCTGAAATTAAGGGGTGTTTTAGCAAATTGCAAATTAAATTTGCGAAGTCCCTCAGTGACTTTGCTTACAGAAAACGTAATAGGGAATAGTTACAGCAAACATCATATCCTATATTTTAAAGGAGAATGATAACTAAAATTAGTTTGGGCATTTGTCATAGCATAATCTCATTTCCAGCTAAAGATACATTAACACGTAAGCAAAAGACTGCCCAAAACAAAATTGCAGAACTCTGCCCCTGTTGCTCTCACTGGGAATTGGGTGGCATTTTACCAGTTGAGTCCATTCTGTTCCACAAAATGTTCACCATCTGAAAAGGCCATTTCATCAAAAGAGTAGAAGATGTAAGCTGCCATCTACATTACTAATGCACAAAAATAAAAGTTTGCTTTAAATGACATAATTTTACTTCTCCTTGATCCTCAGACAAAAGACTTCTTAGAGAAACACGCATGCGTGTGTGACGGATACACTTGACTCCTAGCTGTGCTTTGTATCAGGCTGTGCAAGAAGCAACACGCTTCATGTCCATAGGGTGAATTTGTGAGACAGAAAGCCCCTGGCTCATGTACAACGGAGTGAAGGTGTCTTGAAAAATATTTTGAAAGGTGGTTCTGAAACCCCAAACTACAAGATAACCAAAGTATAGAACAAGATATCAGAGCTAAATCAAAGACATCTGTCTTGTCTGTACTACTGACTAGCAGCCAACTACTTCACCCTATAAATATTAAAATCAGGATGGGCCCAATCTGAGCTCTCCCTGAAAGGCAGCTGGACTGCACGCCAGGTGACTCTCCCCTTGAGCAGGGATGCCTCTCAAGGTTAGGGATTCCTTATCTGAGACCAAGAGATCCTTCCTTACCCAAGGCGGAGAGACCCCTTACCCACAACAAATCCTTGGTAAGTGACTGACAGCATGCTGAATTAATGCAGTGAAGCATTACTAATCGATGTAGTTATTCAGATACTATAAACGTTGTATGGATAATTCCATTCGACATGGATCATTGACCAAGTCTGAGACCAAGATCAGATCCAGCTGCACCTAGGCTCCAAAAATGAGATTAGAAAGCAAGGGGGTCCACTCTGAACCTCGGGACTCAACGTGAGGGTCCTCTGCACTTTTTGTGCCTCTGGTCTCTGTATGAGTCATTCTAACTCAACTTTCCTTTGTGTGTTTCTTCCATGCAGTAATTACTACAATGAACCTTGCCACTGAACGTGTTGAACTCTGTCAAATTATTATTTTACCTCAATAAAATATATTGCCGCTTCTCTCTTTTAAGTGAGGTGCATTCCACTCATCCGCGACAGTATGTAACTACATACACTTATTTACTCAGTGATACTGACCGCCATTACAACTGAAATTTGATTTAGTGTTCCAATAACAGGTGCAGAAAGGATGTCTTGATGCAGGAATAATAACTGTCTTTAAAAAAAAAGTTAGAAAAAAAATTCAAGAATAATTTTCCATACTTGATTTTCTCAGCTTAAATTTATTTTCCTCACCTTCTGCAAAGATAATACATTCCAATTCTAATCAGTTTCCAGTGGTTCTGTATAATATATTGGACTAGTCCAAGTTATTCACTCTTAACCCACCCACAGTGGTCTAAGACAAAGACTACAGGCCTTTGGCACATGAACAGAACTCTCTGAAAGTGTTCCTTTTGGCAGAATTTCTCATTTCTTCCCTTTCCTAATCAAGGGAATTCTTGGTGAACACTAAGACGCATAGACATGCTTTCTAAGTGTTCTTTTCACTCAGTTTTGACGTACATAAAGTAATACTAATAATAATATAAAGCTCAAAAGAAGTACCTAAAGCATTCCAACCTTGCATGTGAACACAGATTGATTCTAACTATTTACTAATTTGAAGTAGATGGCCTTGTCAGCTTTACCTGATAACATTTAAAACATAATGGCTATGTGTTTTTTTCCCTGCTGATAAGAAATTTGCTGATTTTATTACAGTTAATTCTAGTACTGCTAATAAAATCTTTGAATAACAACTACCAACAGCTTCTGAAAATAATAATCCTCAGAATTCTTTACCTGCAAATCTTTATCTGTGTACTCCTTGTCTCATTTTCCGGTATCTGAGAACTCAGTGTTACTGTAGTGGCACAGAGTTTTTGTAGCTCCGGCAGACTGGCAAAGAACAGAGATTGGTGCCTGGTGCTACTCATGTTATGTTGTTGATTGCCCCAAAGCGGTGCCTGGGTCTTAAAAGAAAAATTTAAATTCATTTTCATAAGGCAGGTATTTGTTTACAGAACTTTGTAAGGATATGGTATCAGGTAAATGAATAATCAATTATCTTCTGATTAAGATTAGGTAGGCAATGTAACATAATTTGGTCAACTAAAACAGCTCAAAATACTATTGCTATAAAAAATGCATTATACTTGAAAAAATAATTATTTACAAGAGTCAAAATATTCAGTGTAAAGACAAGGACAAAAGCATCCTTTTCATCTTCTTCTCAGTCTATGTTGGGGCTGGAATCTACCTCAGATCCAAGAGCTGAGGAATCCCTCTACAACACTGGTCCCCTCCTGTTTGGCAACAAAGTTTAATTCCCAGCAGCTTAACAGAGATCTCTTCACTAAGGCATACCAAGATCATGGCCAGCCTGTGGGGGAGCATGAATACCACAGAATCATGGAGGCACACTGGAAAGCTCTTCCTTTTTCCCCACACCACGCTCCGTTCCAAGCGGTACAGGGAACTTGTGCGCTCCCTGCTTCAATCTCTCTCTCTTCTGAAGCGACAGGTGAACACCATATTCTAACTTACGCAGAACTGGGTACAATCTTACACCGGACTGAAAGCCGTACTAATCCAGAACGGCATTCAGCTATATGACAATTTGTTCTCCCATTCTTGCTCTCAAAGGAGAAATGTACGAAGAGCAGTGTTTTGTCTTTGTGAGAATTTTTAATAGGTACACACCTACATACCTCTCAAAAGACGAAGAAAACATAGCTGGTATTTGGAGCGGGATATGGTCAGACATATAGCGGTTCTACCAAAGCTGTCTCTCACATCCTAAACTTTGCCTTGCAATAGAAATTATTAACTATATTTTGTGTTCGAGAGTACGAGGCAGTTTTGGGCTCAGGCCACAATCATTATCTTGAAGTGCACATGACCTGCTATTTCACGTGATGTGAGGATACAGAATACATCACCGAGCAGATGTGCTTCAACTCCATCATTTTTGGAACTTCCTAGAAAGCACCAAAAAGAACTGAAAGAACCAGAATTTCAGACTGAGAATGTGATCTTTGATGCAGTATGAACAAATTTCACATGAGTGGGAATAATATGAAATTATCGCTGTTACCTGGCCTGTTGGATGGCTGTTGCACGCTCCTATGTACTGCAGCACAGGCCAGGCTCAGCGTAAAGGAACTAGAACATTTATGACAAAAAAAGAACATGTGACATTTCACTATATAAAGAAAATACACCTTTTAACTATAGCACCTTTCTCAGCCAAAGTGTTTCAAAGAAAACCAGGCAGGTAGAAAGTCCATTTGTTATGAAAATCCAGGAGCACACCCTGCACACCAGAAAAACTTGTTTTAATAGCTCTCCCCAACTCCAAGCCCTAAAACCCTTTTTGGAAATGGTCTTACCGGCACAGTGAAGATAGCAATAAATATTTTGTTTCCAAATTTTACGAAGTCACAAGGTATTCACCTGAAAAGCAATATTGCAAATCATGATTCAAAAATGATGAACTGGAAACATTTTTTCAGGAACAATGTCACAGATAACTTTGCTGTTCTGATTTTGCTCTGCCTTGCTTACAGTATAACACACTAAAAATGTTCATCTCAGTCATATCCTGGAAAAATCAGAAGATCAGCGTTTATAACTGTAATTTTAAAGAAAATAACGTTTCCTTAAGGGAAAACACATTTCAAGTTTTTTCTAGCAATCATGAAAAGCAGATTTTTTTAAAATGCCAGCCACGACTATCAGTTCATCAGAGAATTATAAAAGCTCCAGCTGAAGCGTAAGTACCATTTTAAACAAATGAGAAAAAAAACTTGTCCATTTGCAAACACAGAAAAGAAAGGCTGGGTCCCCAGCCTTCATAATGTTTAGAAGAATCCTAACTGGCCAATGGGGGATTCGTGTAGCAAAGATGTTGTAAAACACATGCTGCAATGCTCCAGTGATCCTCTTGCTGTTTGACGCCAGCTCCCCTGTGGGAACCACTCGCTGTATTCAGCGTAAACTAAATCTTGCCGGTCATCTTAAAAGCTAATGGGACAGAGTGCTTGCAAATGGCTTCTCCCTTCGGGGGAGAGGCTAAAGAGAGAACTACCAGTTAAGATAGAAGACAGTTATGAACCATAGGAAACAAACCCAACTGCCTTCTGTACAAGCAGGAGATGGGAGAAACTACATCTTTAGACGCTGATACACGCAACACGTGAACTTGAAACCGCCACAGAGCTCCGGCTAAGCTGAACAGGACATCAGCTGGAGAATGCCTAGTGCTGGTTTTCTGTCAGAACAGACAGGTAATTCACCGAGCTTGGTGACAGTATTTGTTATTTTCAGTAACGACCTTATGAAAGCTGCGAACGAGACCAGTCTGCGAGGGGCAGCAGCTACTCCTCCCGCTAAGCTGACTGCAATGAACTGGAGACGGGGCGTGAAGCGGAAGGCTCAGCGAGGAAGTACGAAGCTGTCCTGCGCGCTGACAACCAACAGCACGCGCACGGGGCACAGAACAACTACCCAGGCTCCAGCTTCAGGGAACGGGGTCTCGACAGGCCACACCACTGGGTAAATTTTACGTCTACCAGTAAAGTTGCGCTGTAAACAACCCCCGCAAAAACCCCCGGCCTGCCACCACACCGGAGCGCGGGGCACCCG